GACAGCAACCACGTCCCTGCTCCTCCTCCTCATCAGCAGCAGTGCTCCGCAGGGCCTGCCCAACGTGACTCCCAGCGCACGGAACGTGCTCCAGGGAGCCACAGGCAGGAGCAAGGGACACAGAGAGCAACGGCTGCTCTGCAGCAGCTCTCCAGGTGCAGGCTCAGCTGGGCAGCCAGCGTTTGTTACTGAGCTGCTGCCACCGCCACCTCTGCACCGACACCCGGCTCTGATCCAGCAGCCCTGTTACTTTACCACAGAGGTACTTTGAAAGACAAAACGCTTAGTTCTTCACAGGTGGAGCACAGAGCAGTAAAAAGCAGAGAAAAGCCCTTCTGTCTACTATTTATATCTTGCTCCACTAAGGGAAATTCCAAGGGGAAACAATTAACATGCAGGTCCCAAATGCACGTTGTTGTATGGACACCAGCATACCTCAAAGGCAGGTATGCAGCAAAGCTGAAATATTGTCCCTATAAAGATGGAATTTCTAAGCATATGAATGACACAACCTCATAGGAGGAAAAGGATTAAGGAAATCAACTACTGCTTTCTTACCTCCAAAGAAGCACCCTTGAACTGCTGCAAGGTGTTTGTATGTGTATTTTACAGTCAAACACAGTGTTTGTAAACAAAGAACATTATCAATGTGCACAACTGTGAAGGGAAAATGTGTGATAGCTCTCATGAGAAAAGATGCTTCTAGCTGAACTGAGGAGCCCGCACTGGGAGAATCCAGCACTCCCCGCTGTGATAATCACCTGCCTAAAGCATCCACCTTCATGAGCTTGAAATACTTGAAAGGAACAAGCTACATACCTGGTAGCGGAGGCTGCGGAAGCCCGAAGTCTCGTACTGGGAAACATTCACGTGGCCCATACATGCCAGGGGGAGGAGGAGGAGGAAAGGGAGGTCCTCTTCTCATGAAAGGTCCTCTAGGATCCATGGGCAGCATCGGAGCTCTGACGGGAGGGAAAGGCGGGGGGGCAAAGCCCGAGGTGCCTGCTTCACTTTCAGAGGCAAAAGACTGATCAGGTAGTAAGTTCTGTAACACCACAAAAACCAGGACGTTAACTCAGGGAGAGGGAAAATCTTCTGTCCCATCAAGCCCATTTTGTTGTAAGAGTGACAGGCTGGTTAATAAAATCTGGTGTAGTTCTGACTGCCTGAGCAAGACTCGCCCTGGGCACAGGCTATCAGCCTGACCACGGCTTTACCTTTAGTTACTATTACATAGGTTTATAGAAGGAATTATGTAAGGTGTATTGCAATTGGCAAGACAGTGAGTGTAGTGGTAAAAGTATGAATATAATTCATCATTTAGACTGCATAGGTATGATAACCAGAATAGTATAAACAAATTCTCATAAATATTTTGTACAATATTAAACTTCAAATCAGAAACTTTAAACCAAGTTCCTGTTCAGCTACTTACACCAAGATTAGAATGATCTTTCATCTCATTTCCACTTGGTTCTGTTTGTGAACTATTTTCTCAACTGAGGGCCACAAAGCTCTGCCTGAAAACCTTCAGTATGTACACAGGTTTGTATATGTGCACCCAGGTGGCAGTTTTTACCAGTTTCCTATACCCAAATAAGGCATTTTCTTTCATTTTAATGTATTTTTTCTTAGAAATTACAAGTGCATTTTGCTAATACTGCATCTTAACACTACAGCAGCCGCTCCATTTATCCTCTCCTTCCTTGTACTACTGTGTTTTCCAGACTTGTAACTTATTTCTCATGTCAGCTCCAAGTCCAGACCAGGAACTACCTGTACCAAGAACTATTCTTAGCAGAAGGTGTGATAGCAACAGTCTTCAAGCCTGACAGATACTGGATTTCTTTCTTAGCTGCACCAAACATCAAGGAAACTTTTGGTACTGTATTAGTCCTGAAAGAGCATTTAGGAATAACAGTAATTAATCCTCATGTTTCCTGTGTCCACATATGAGAGATAAATAAGACCTCAGTGCATTTACCTTTACACCTGCCTGAGAACAAGTGTTGTCAGAAACAACTGGAGAGATTTATTAAAGGGAATTCTCAGAAAAAAAGTCTGACTGGAGTGCTAAAAACTAAAAACACCCTTTTCTTTTGAAAGCACACACACACAAAAACCCCCCCACCACCAACAGAAAACCACACAAACAAAAAATCCCCCATAGCTCACACTTGAAAAATCCAGCTTCCTGGCATTTCTGCATGAGCAGAGCCACTAATAGCTGTAGGATGTAAGACTAGAAATAAAACTTCTAACAAGTGACAGGTTTCCACTTATAGGTTAGTTGTGCAAAGCAAACAAAACTCTTCTCTCAGGGAACAGACAGGCCTTTTCCAAAAGTGAATTTAAGGATTGTCAAGCGGTCTCTGCCTTTGCTAGAAGTAGTTTCTTAATCTGAAGCATTTAACTGTTTATTTTACGTGCAGAATATTTATTTGTTGACACCTGGATTGCATAATACTTTCCATTTTAAACCCTGTCAAACTGCTCAAAGTTTGCCAAATTTTAACCTTTCTAACAGGGAATTTCCTGCTCCAAGTATCTGCTTCAACTTAAGAGTTCTGCAGCATTAACCACTTCACCTTCACACATTATTTTGCTCACACTAAAGAGCATTTTGTCCTCTTGTTGAGACAGTGTAGCTTCCCCCCTTTCTAGAGCCAGAGCGTTGGTTTTGGCACTACAAAACGTGCTGCTGCTCTGAGGTCAGACAGTGGGTGGTTTTGGTTTTCCTTCTTTGCTATTTTTACAACTACCCACCCAAGTCCAGTTAAATTACATGCCTATAAAATGTAACATGCACATAAGCGCTCTAACTTGCTGGAGGCTGGCACCCAAGTTACCCAGAACATTGTTTCCACTCGGTAGTTTTTTGTTCTGCCTGAGAACTACAAGCAGGTTTTTTTTTAATTGTTGCTTGCAGCAGCTGAAGAAAGTGTGGAAAGATTGCAGAGCAGCGAACGCACAGAGTGAAGCCTCTGCAGGCTGCATCAGCAGGGGCTGGGAGAAGAAAGGCCTCAGGGGAATGCAAGCAAGTGGGAAGTCAGATGGAGGCTTCAGAAAAGGGATAGCAAGGTGAGTGGCTGAACAAGAACAGAATTATCTTCCAGCAGGCAGAAATCTGTAGAAACCTGAAATGTTAACCTTCTGAAACAGAAATCAGTATTCCCCATTTGACACTGGAGACACAGGACAACAAAGGTTCTCTCTTTCCTGCTGCTAGAAACCCGCCGAAGATGATAACTGAACACTAGGTGGCAAAGCTGGTGTGATGAGTTTAACAGTTTCAGCCCAGCTGATGACTCAGGTACCTGTGACTTACTAAGGATTAAATAATGATGAAAACTTATTAACAAGTATTAAGACTTGAAGCTTCTAGACAGTTTTAGCTACAACACTGAAGTCACCCTAACTTGGCTTCTAAGCTTCTGATTGTTGCTAAATGTCATAAATTAGATCTTATATAATTGGCCATCATGAAGCAAACGGTACTTGGTTCATGGATGTGCAGTTAAGTTGGGGGCAGCTGCACCTTGAACTACAAAAGGCTCTAAGGATGACGGTTCAAATCCTTAGATTTGAATCTAAGGATTCAAATGCCTTGAAGAAGGAGAACTCAAACATCTAGTTCAGTACTCAAAGTCAGTGGATACTTGAAACACTGCATCTTATTCTTTCAGTTTTAATGACAAAAATCTCTCCCTAGCTTCAGCAAAACTGAGATGGAAACACATCTAAATATTGGTGAAATTTTAGTGCTAAGGTAAGCCTTATGGGAGAGGCTGTAACACATTCAAAGCCAAGCCCGACACAGAAGGGTGAAAGAAAGAACCTCACTACCACTCCCATCCCTCGAACAGAAGCCCGAGACTGCCAAGCCGCTGATGCAGTTGATAATATTAAGGCAGGCAGGTAAAGCAATGCCCACCTGTTGTATCAAAAGACTGCATGTTGTAAGTTCGTAGTTCTGCTGGTCCAGAAAGTCTTCCAGAATTTGGAGGATTAGGAAGAAATCTGTCTTGCCTTCGAGGAGGAGGAAGAGGAACAATTGGATCAGTGTAAGGCTCACCTAATATTGGGAAGGGAGGAAAAAAAATAAAAATAAATAAAAAAAAAATCACAGAACAGGTGAGTGAAGATTCACAGAGGTATTCCCCTATTTCCTACCATTTTACACCTGCAAGATTCTCTGGATTTTTTTTTATGTTTTTGTAAATATCCAGAGTTACTATTAATAAAGGCAGACATTCTTAAAAAAATAAAATAAAATAAAAAAGCACTACAGGAATCCCACCAGGCATTCACGTACTATAACAGCTTACATATCTAATAAATTAACAAAGCAAAAGCCTTAGTCATCTTGACTGTTGCTTTAACATTGCTTTTTTTTTAAAGTTATGATAGCATAAGTTGTAAACACTGTGACTCTGAAAAATAAAGACTCTATACAGTGATGAAGGCCGAAGTCAAAACAACTTACTATATTTTAATCAATGCTAATATAAGAGCATCGTTTCCTATTATGTTTCATCTGTTATACTGCCATCAACCATTTCCACCAGATCTAGCAACCATGCAGACAGAAAAAGAACTGTTTCAGGTATATGGGATGGTTGTTCTTTCCCCTGCATGCTAATTTATTGTAGAATTATCAGTGATATCCTCTTTGGTTTGTTCATGCCTTTCTTGAATGAAAACATGCAAAGATGTTTAACTGAAGAAGTGAGACTGAACACTGTTTTTTTAATTATGGAAGAGGTATCATTAACATGACTATGAATTCTGAACGCTTCAGACTGGCTCACTGTCCCGCAGTTCTTCTGTACTATTAGTAGAAATGTATTTAAAAAACAACAGCTACCCTTTTCAGGGTCTTTCCTGAAAGACCTTGTACAAGTTACAGCACAACTAAACACTAACTTTCTCAGACCTCTCATGAATGATCTAGCCAAGATCAGTCTTTTAATGCAATAAATAAGCCCCCAGCAAAGTGAAAATACCAAAGTGTACCAAAGTACTTTGGTGTACATTAGTAGTTCAATAATCAAAATACCCAGCGTAGAAGTGCAAATGAGCTGCACCATTCAAGAAAGTGAAAAATACTATTAAAAGAGCTTTTCCAGTATGGCTGTACATGCAATTCCCAGAAAACAGTTCATACAGGTAAGCAGAAAATACTTAAAAAGATGGGTATTTAGTGCAAGTCAGTAACTCAGTAATTTTTCCACAGATCTTAGTAACTAGGCATTTTTCTTTACCTGGTAGAGGCAGAACTATCCTGCGTTCTCTGTCCCAGGGGGGAGACAGGGACCCAGTATCTGATGGAGGCCTGTGCGGATCGGTTAGTCTATCAGAACTCAGCTCTCCTCTTTCATTATTGCCTTCATACATGACAGTAGTTCCCGGTCCTCTGGATCCTATGTGAAGAAATTAGACAGCTATTTACCCTGGAAATGAGTTCCCTACTATGACTGTCTTCATTAAGACTGAAAGTAGTCAGATAGGTCATAGAGTGCCAATGCTTTCAAGATACAAGAGGTATATGGTTCTACAGGACTCTCCAGCTGTCTGGTGATGACTCAACCCAGTTGTTATGACTAGAAATAATTCAAAGGTTTACAAAACCAAAAGAAATAGGAAAAAAAATGTAGTGAGAACAGAAGTGAAATCTACAAAAGATTTTAAAAATCATTTTAAGAGTTCCTGTTTGTTCAAATCAGAGAAACTAGTGCCTTCTCAATCAATGTTGTTCTTAACGCTAAAATAACTGCTGCTAATAAGATTTAAAGGAATAGAAACCATAATGGGGAAAGTTAACACCTTCATCAGAAGAAAAACACCCATACTTCATTTAAAACTCTCCTGGTTCTGACTCTTTTTAGAAAATAATAATAATAAAGGATGAATCAACACATAGCCAAGCAAAAAAGACTTGGACAATATACTTGAAAACATTTTCTTTTTTCCTAAAAAACTTGTAAGTCTCCTTTAAACTAAGACTTGGCCAGATAAATAAGAAATGCAGGATTCTGGTATCATTCTCTGATTTTCTATCCTAAAGTTACCCCAGAATTTGAAAATTAAACCATTCTCTGTTTTATGCAAAACCAGCAGTATATTCGCTAGTCAGTGCTGTTTAAACACGTGGTTTGTGTAATCTGCCCCAGTTAGTTTAGTTCTCCATTACGACGCAAACAGTAGCTATGCCTTAGCACAGTCTCTTTCCGTGTTAAGGCTACACTCTGAAATCCAGTTTTCATTCTTCCTCACTAGCTTCAGTTCATCTACAGTTTAAAGATATGGACAAAACTTTTTTTAGTTACTGTCCCTATACAAAGAACTATATATATATGTGTGTGTGTGTGTATATATAAAAATAAGTAACAGATTCTGCTTTTGTGATATAGTTGTGACTGAACATTCAATCTCAGCTTTCTTGTGATTTAGAATATGAATCAATTTTTGTATGCAACTAGATGTTTTTTATGAAGATTTAAAGTGAATATATTGTCAATGTTGCTTTAAAAAAAATCAATTAATTAGTGAAACCCTTACAGACTCTACCCTATATTTCCTATGGAATACTAAGTTCAGGTGCCAGCAGGCACGGCAGTAGTAGTAAGCCAACAGTAGTTTCTTTGTCACCTCTAACAGGTGACTGAACTCCAGGAACACTATTTCCAAGAACATCAATAAGAACTGAAGGAATAAGTGCAGTTCTTGCCTTACCATCTGTAACACCATAGCTTGCTTTCAACTATTCCTGAATCTCTGCATGCAACTCCTTAACTTCATCAAACTGTTTTCATTTTACTTTCATTATTAAGGAAGGAACAGAGTACGAAATACAGAGTTTGCCTCATACTTCAAACAAAATGAAGCAAAATATTTTCTGGATCAAAAGTTACCTGAGAATTGTGTTTTTTTTTTTTTTTTTAATCAGTCCCATAAAACCATCCTACGTTTTTATAACATAAAATTCTTCCTCCTCCTTTCAGTCTTTGGACCACTGAAATGGAAGTGGCAAGACCTTTCTTCAGAAAGCTAACTCACTCCTGTTTACCTTCAAACCAGAAGCCTATTTCAGCAAAATATGATGGAATAAGTTTGACTCTTCACTTTTCTCAACCTATGCTTTGAAGTGAATCTACCAACTGGCCCACTAGTAATAACTGAATTTTCCATTGTGGTGTTATATACCAGACAGTTTTAGAAACTGAAAAACAAGAAAGGTTTATGTCAGGAATTGCTTATAATTTATTGCTTGTTTTAATATTTTTTGAAACTATCAAGAGGAAAAGGTGTGACGGGTTTATAGCAGAGGAGAGAGAAATCCAAAATAGATAGGTTTTGAAGTTTAAGAATTGTACCTCTTCCTCCTCCTCCACCTGGAAGCATAGGTGAAAGCCTTAAAGGACCCTCCAATAAAGTTGGAGGGGAAAGAAAAGCTCTTGTTTCAGATGAAGGCCGGCCCATTGGTGAGGGTCCATATGGGGAATGCTCTGGAACAGTTAAAACAAAATGCTCAAGTTCACAATATTTAGTTGAACAAACTGTACAAAGTAATTAACTTCTCAGGTGAGGTTTAAATTGGATCACAAATGAAATAAGAATTGTGCTTCAATTACCATGTGTGTCATATTTGCAGTCTACTCTCATTGATACTACCCACATTCTCAGTTTCAAGAAAATAAAGCGACCTCAAGTCACTTATGACCCAGTTTTGTTTTAGCGACTGTTATTTGTACATACACAGGCCAAGAGAGTTTTCAAACAATCACATATGTGTGGTCTTGGGAAACAAAACCAGAAATCAAAAAAGACAGGCTCTATTTTACAATTCAATACTGTACCTCTGCCAAAAGGTCTAACTGGAACATCAAGAGCATAAGGATCCTTTTCTAAAAGGTCAAGTTTGAATTCTGTTTCAGTTAATCTGCAAATAAACAACAACAAAAAAGGAAAGATATAACCAGGAACTACAAAAGTTTTGATTACAGACACTGTTTACTACTAATATTTTTATTAAAATTATTAACAGATCAAGACATTACTTTCCATAACTAAAAACAAACAAAAACTAAGACAGACAATTCAAAGTTCTGTGGTATTTAAGAACCCCTCAAGGCATTTCCTTTTTTTACACTACTGTACTTAAACACCAATCGAAAAATTGAAGTGGCATGTTAGAGTCAAGCTTCTTAGCATGGCACTATTCTCACAAGTACTATAGATCTCATATTAAGTATGAGAATCTTCACATGAAGTTTTTTCTTATTTTTTCCCCCCACCCCACTGGATCTGTTAACTAAGCACTAACTTCGGAGTTAAACTGCAAATTCATTCACTTTCAGCTGATTAAAAAAAAAAAAAAAGGTAAAATCCTAAATCCTCAGAGTATGTTCTGTTCTACAGTATTTCAGTACTTCACATATTCCTTCTTTTGTTGTTTGCTGTCATTATGGGAGTGCTCCAATGATGCCACATGTTCCACTGCAGTTCTGAAACGGCTGTCCCTTGGCTGGGCCACAATGGTTTAACTTATGTCTAGCAAATAGTGAATTATGTAAATCCAAAACATATTTGCACAGCTAAACTGTTTTTGTTCAGAATGACACCAATACTGCACTTACTTTTGTCTGTTATGTGCATTTTCTTTTCTTATATCATTGAGATGTCTTTCAGCTGCTCGTGCTGTCAACTTCAGAAAAGGACAACAAATCAGATGCTTATTTGTTGCTACTTATTAAATGCTTCATGATTGTTACAGATCATAGATCCAAGACATGGTTCTATATAAACTGTGTAAACTGAATATTCATAATAAAGGACTCGTGTAAAGCATACAGAACAGAGCCTCGCATACATCACCAAATTACATTAGCAACTCCACTATCTACATTTTTGAGGAACTGATATGGTTTTCCTTCTGTTTCTTAAGACTGCAGAAATACAACACTGTGACTATAGCTGCTTTGAAGCATCTGCAAAATACGTACAGGATTTAAGGTATAAAATTTTATACAATAAGTTTTATTTTAAAATACAGCTAAGATCTGTAAAATTATGAGCACTAAGTATCATGACTTTTAATTCAATTCTATCTTACACAGACAATTCTGTGAAAACATAAAATATCTCCCGACTAACATGTTTTAAGTTTCATATTTGAAGGAAGATTTAAAACGTAGCAACATTCTTGCAAAGCTCTGTGGAACACAGAGTTCTCACAGGACATACCGTCTGCTATTAGTAGATAGAGGGGAGTACACCCAGGGAAAACATTAAAATGGCACTGAAAGAAGGCCAAAAGCTTTATTATTAGCAAAACAAGCAGGCATTTGTTAAACGTCAACATCTTATTCCAGCAGATTTACTGGAATATCATTCTACTGAACTCATAGGTAGCTAGCTTAATTATTGCAACTATTTTATACGAAGAAAGATTTTTTTAACGTGCTTTTGTATATTTCTGTAAGTAATCATCAAGTTTAAAGGTAATGGTTTTGCTTTTTGATGATCTGTTTTTAAATAAGAAACTTAATTATAAAGCAAGCTGCCAAATAATTGAAAAGGATGACAGTACTTCAGGTACAAAGTTATAAATCTTAGTATTTGAAACATACCCAATTATCATGAGCTTTTTTCTCATGTGAAGTAATCTGTTAAAAAGAGACATTCATTAGATGATCACTGAAGCACATACACTATTCAAATAAAAAAGAAATCTAAGACCAACTATAAGCTTTCATTCATAAATTTAATATAGGTAGATAACTAATTATGAGACATCTAAATTTAAACCGGAAGCTTATTAAAAGTTATCTGGTGATTTCTGCTATGAAATTTTGTCAAAAACTACATGGCCTTAAATTAAAAAAAAAAAATACAAATACAGCATCTAATACAATGTTTAACGTAGGTTATCTTAGTTGCCATAATAGCATCTACATCAAAGAGGAAGGGTAAGTACCACAAGCCACTCACCTGATGCTGGTAAGAACGAATGGTTCTTTCTAGCTCTTCTTCAAGATCTTTTGCTCGCTGCCTGTACAGGAAAATAAGACACTGTAATAAAAGTATGTTGAGGAAGATCATTTAAAATACAGTAAAAAACAAAGTAAATACAAGGTAGAATGAGAAATTCCATATCCAGAAGGAAGCATTGTCACTTAGGACCATGGAGTTCCTAAAAAAAATGACAGCAGCAACAGAAGTTCTAAGACCTATTGGAATAGAAGAGGGATGATGAAAAAAACCTCTGGATGGCCTGTGATATAAAGGATATCACACTCTGCAGTATGCAAGAACAGCCAGCCCTTACCCAGCTTAGAAAACACACTAACATGGCTGGAACGCAGGGCTGTTAGTGCCCACCACAACGGTCCCTACAGCCAGTGCCTTGCACCCGGATTACTCCGGGACCAAGAGCCAGCTCTGCTGCCAGCTGCCCCACAGCAGTTGTGACAGGTCCCGCGTTCCCTCAGCAGGTTGGCCCAAGATGCATTCACTGCTGAGTAAATTTTGAAAAATTAATATCCTCTTTAAAAATAAGAGCTCTCTAAAAATTCCACGTTTGAACTAAGTCATAAAGGGTATACTCTATATTCCTGCATTAGTGCTAAAGCCTACCTACAAAAATTCCACCTTCTAGAGAAAGAATGAATCTAACGAGCCCTTCAGGTGGTGTTGCTAACCAGTATCATTCATAACAGTCAACGTCCTCATAGACATTGAAGGAAGATGGGAAATACACATTACAGATCAAAGAATTATGTTCTATTTTGAGAAAACAAAGACACACATGCACATCTGGCTTATATACAGCTATTTTTAACCCAGAATGGAGTAAATCAGTTAAAAAGAATTACAGAGAATATTCCTATGACGCAATATTTTAATAAAGAATTGGTAAATACTAATACCACTTGGAAAGTTTGGAGAGAAAGATATATGCTTCTATAATTGTAACATGTAACTGTGTTAGGATCAATAGAAAAACTGAGCATGTTACACGTATTTCATAGCATTCTAACTTTCTCGGTATTTTTATCTCTGCTCATTACAGCGTTCCAGACTAGAAACCAACTCCTACCATTCATTTAAAGCCAACACATTAATACAAACAACACTTTAACGGAAGAAAATGCCAATGATTTTTCCATACTCAATTTCTCTAATAAAACAATCCTTTACCATCTATTATTACATACAAATTAGCATGAAAAAAAAAGAACCAACTTGAAGTAAACATATACATTTATACTGGTATTTGTACTGTCTGTCTTTCAGTTTAGAATAAGGGACAACAGTAACTAAGATCTGTAATTACCTGTAACTGTTTAGTTCTTCAGCAGCATGATTAATTTTTTCATCTACTTTCGAAAGCTTTTCTTCCTTCTGTAAGCGTTCTCTCTCTTCTACTGTCAGTTTCCTTTAAAAAAGTCAAACTGGTTAACTCTACTTCATATCAACAATTCATACCAATTCATACCAATTCACATCAACAAGATGCTGTAGTGTCTCAAGAAAAACTACTCAAATCATATAAGCATAAAAAATACTTGCTATTTATCCAGATAATAACGAGTTTTACAGCAACACAAGTAGTCTATATTCCTATTAATTTACTCATTAATTGTTCTCTATGAAACATTCAGATTATCACTGTTCCCCAAAGAAATTCTAAAGATCTTCCATAGCCCCAAAGATTAAAGTTTCTCTTATACAGAAATACATCAACTTTAGGCAGTAAACACCAATTTTCTATCTACAAAAATAGAATTGCACTAACTTTTGATGATTTATCCCAATACTTCAAATTGTAAAATAGTTTTCCAGAGAATAAAATGATTCCTCATCATTAAGAATGAAATTCTTTCCAAGTCCCTTTCCCCCCCTTTTTTTTTTGTGTTAGCCTTGGTCAGGGAGTTGAAGAGGAAACATCCACATTCCAGATTACAAATTAGGCACAAGGTAATTCTGCAGAACACACACAGATAATGTGACCACCTAACAGACCTGAATAGGATGAACTGGTCACTCTATCTAAAAAGCACTTCTTTGCTAGTAAAGCATCTAAACCATGGATCTGTTGAACATGCTATCAGTGTCTATCCTCAATTCCAATTTTCTATTTTCCTTTTATTTGCTTGGGTGTGACTTTTCTTTAAAGCTAATCACCACTTTTACTCCGCTATCTAATCATGCCAGCTTCTCCCAAATCCTTTTTTTAGCCTTTCTAAAATCTTTGATAAGCACCATGTATTTGCTCTAAGCTGCAATACAGTGTCATTAAATAGCATCGACATCATCTGTAAACATTTGCTGTTTTGGCTGCACATAGCAGTCTCTTTTTTTAAGAGGCTTCTCGTTTTTTTACATAAGCCAGCATTTGATTTTAAAAAGGGAGTGTAGTGGACTGGGGGAAAGGGCAGGGACTTCTTCAAGAATTCTAATATCTACACATCATGTATGAATTCAGTTACCGAAAGAAACATTTTAACAAGATGCTGCATACTTCTCAGGCCAGGATCAGAATTTGTGCTGCTTTTCTTGCTGCCTTCAAGATTAGGTCTGGCCCTTGAAATAGTTTCTTGCTAAAGAAATTCTAGTTTTATGCCCCCCTCCTCTGACCACATAAACACTTCTAATTACTAAAACAATATTCCATTCTTAACAACTGTATTTTCAGTCTTTAGCTTTCTGAATTTCACTGAATAAACCATAATCCCTACTGAAATCCTGACTGGGAGTTAAAAAGCACAGTCCTTGTATTGTATTATTCTTTGTCAGGATAAAGTGATTCACAGGGATTCTATGCTGCTTACCAGTAATAGTCAATTTGCCCGTCTGTTTTAACTCTAGGTTTAGTTTTACACATCGCCCTACTCTTCCCCACACACAGTTCTCTTCCCCCTAGAAAATACATCCCACAATTAAAGCAGCATCAAAATATCTTTCTTTCATTATGTTTGATATACATATTATGTCTTATCTTTATTTTGAGCCAAGCTTCCCTACTTCACCCACCCTACTTCACATACTAAGACTTGTTCGGAAAAAAAAAAAAAACAACATGCTTTTGGAAAAGTCGTAAAGGAATACATCATGATTATAATGAAAATAATTACTACAAAATTACTTTGATAATAAACAAACAAGAAGGTTTAACATTCCAGAATTTTTTGACTTAAAATATCTTGCTAAGTAGTATTTAAATTTTCAGTAATTTTCAGCCCTCAAAAGAGTATAAAAATCTCAATCGAATAACGTGTTGAATATAAAAATCAAGAGGAGCCTGTACCTGTGCAGTTTCATTTCATTTTCTTGATAAAGCTCAGTCATGACTTTAAGTTTTTGTTGAAGCTTTTGAACTTCACTGTCTAAACGTTCATTTTCAGACTGCAAGGAAGCTTGTTCAGTTTGGAGGCTTTCTATACGTTCTGTCAAATTTAGGAACAATTAATTATATTGGGAATAACACATAGTTTACAAAATCAAAATAACTGCAACATTTCATTAACTAGTAGGTTTGTTATATTCTCTAATGCTATGCTGTTTTAATAAGCAGTAATATATACTAATAAGCGTCCATCAGTTACACAAGTAAGAAAGTACTGCCCCTTTGATAGAAGACAGAAACTATGTTCTTTATCTGCCACACAGAGCAGCTCTGACCAAATACCCAACCTTTCTGATCCCTCTGACTCACACAGCTTCTCTGGACAATACTGTTTTGCAATCCAAAATCCAAATTTCATTTAAAGCTTTTATTATTATAAATATTTTACTAAAGAAGTAAGGTCTGTATGATCACATACTCTTGAAAATTTAGCCAAGTGAACTCTCACCAAATGGCCTGAAGGGATAACTTGGATTTGTCAAAGTCTTATGTAGCCAAAATAAGGTCTGTCCTGCTCCTTTTCCTGCTCTTTACTTCCCAGCCACTATTCCTATGCCTCTTTCGAGCAAGATGCAGAACTTCAATGAAATCTGAATACCTTTACAGAACAGAGATATAATCCACTTGGAAAACACTTTTTTAATGTCAGTTTAATGACCCTCAAAATTACTGTTTTACTCAAACAATCAAGTTCAGTATGTTCAAGTATGATGAATACTTTGCTGTCTGCTATCTAAAAATGCAATACCTAACTCCAGATCTTTTTGGAATTAATGTGCCTGTATTTTAATTTTATAAAATATAACTCAGTATAACAAATGCAACAAAGGACAAAACAGACTAAGATGTTTTTAGACTCAGTTTTCCAGATGCAAAATTTTAAATTTTATGAAGTTTTCAGCATTACAAACTACAAAATTTAAAGTTTGTTTCATGTCCAGATTTCTTTCATAAAGAAGATAATACACAATTACTAACATCACTGGGCACATGTATTTTGAGCTCCTATATTCCCAACAGCACACAAAGAAATTCAGAAATTGTGCTTTAGCAGTCATCACACATCACTACACTTTAATATCTGCTTAAGTTAGTTAGCTAAATTACTGATTTTTAGCAGTAAAGCAACCAGAGCTATTCCTGCAGTATTAATTCTTTTTTCAGTGAAAGTAATGCTTACAGACTATAATATTATTTGATAAAAACAGCATCTTATTACCCTTAAAAGCAAAGCATTAAATTACCTGTAAGCTCTCCTTTAGCTTTATTTTCATCAGACAGTTTTGAATATACTTGTTCTCTTTCTGTTTCCAGAGTCTTTAAACAAGCATTTAACTACAATCAAAACATTAAAATTAGCTTATTAAGATCACCAGAAAAAAAATTATCTGCATGTAAAAATACGTAATTAAATATCAAAAGATGCTGAACTCTGTTTTACTGTTAGATGCTTATCTGCATCTGAATTTATCATAATTGCATTTATTCCATTTTTCTCCCCCTCAATCCACATATTTCTTAAAATCACATACCTTTGCAGCATGTATCAATTTCTTTATGGTTCGTTTTTGCTGATCATCTGATTAACAGAATAGAACACATTACATAAACAGCATTGGAAGGTTTGTGACAGAACTTACTACTGAGATATTTTGTCTGTTTTCATTATTTTGCTTATAACATTTATTATTTATTAACTAGTCTTCAACATATCATAATAAGAATAGTATATTTTAAAAAGAGGAAAATTTCCCTGTATTTTAATACTTTGTTTTGTCGGTCAGACTGAGAATGTCTACATTTCAAAGTGAGGTGCTGAGCAGAGCATAAACTGTCAGACTTACTGGGCTGTGCCCTGTGTTACAACCAGCCCTGCCATACAGAGAAGCTGCAGCGAGAACCAGGAGGAAGAAAGGCCTTTCTCTGCTGCCACACTAAGCCATTCGGAGCATCAAATTCTCTGTGTTACTCTGTAGTAAGGATATATATTTTACCTCTGTACACTGCCCTACAGTATCACAGTCTATTTTATTCTGGAGGTTTCTAAGCATAAGCTGAGCTATCCAACACGAACACCAACATTGGATGAGGTTTGAAACTACATTGGCTTTGTCAAAGTTCTATCTTGAAACTTTTCTGGAAGTTCTAGGCTCATTCTACATTCCTAAAATACCTATTAAATAATTTTAAAAGCAGTGATCGAGCCAAACCTTACCTAAAGGCTCTCCATTTTCTGTTTCACCTTTTATTTCAGTGTCCCAGTGATTATCTTCAGTGCTCTCATCTTCTCTTATGGCTGAACTCCAGTCTTTCATCTTTAGTAAGTACTGTGTCAATGACTAAAAAAAACAATGAAATGTGGTTACCATTCCAATTACTTTTTCAAGTTCTCTCCTTTATTTAGTTCCATTCACACATTAATCCTCACACATAGGAAAGTAATGTTGGACATAAGAATCCTATCAAAACATATAACCTGCAGATCAACAAATATGCCCTAGTGAAGACTCCTCAGATAGCCAAGTAAACATGCTTTTAACAGTATATGTGACCTTCCCCAAACCCAAAGCAAAAAAGTAAATACTCTTCAGAATTAAATGTGTTTTTTCCAAGGCTGCCACAGACTGCTCCGCTGTGCTGCCAAGCAACCTTGTTTGCTTAGCAAGAAACAAAACATCAGAGGATGGAAACAACAAACAAAAAAACCTTAAACAGCTTAGTGCATATTATGACACAGAAAGGTTGTTAGACTTTCTCAGAATTTGCTAATGATTAGCATTAGTAATCATTAACAGCAAGCATTAGTAGTCTGAGTAACTTGACTCAGCACTAGCTCTAATAATTTACCTTAACTTGACTCTCTTTATTTTTCATTACTTCTTCCATATCTGCTTTAGATGATTGAGACATTTTAGTTTGTTCATTTAATTCAGTAAATCGTTCACCCCATCCTTCAGCTTCTTGCAAAAGCTAAGAAGAGAATATTAGATTAATGTGATTATTGTTGTAACTAAGAATCAAGGATGAGCAGCACTTGAGCCTATTATGTATATTATCTATGTACATGCAGAAACTTAAGCTCATCAAGTAAGAATTAAACAGGCAAAGACTATAACACAGTTAAAGACTCAAGAGTTGAAAGTAACAATTTTATATTATTGTCCCACTATTTTAGTGGCAGTAGATCTGTATTGTAACTAGTTGCGAGGATATTTTAAGAAATTAGCAGAACAGTTCAGTTACTATTTCACTCAAAAAAGACAGTATCAACATATTGACAATTTAGCAACAATGTGTAACAAACATCCAGGAACATCAGGGAATGTCTAGAAAGGACAAGACTTATCCACCAACATGTGCACCCACTTCAGAAATTATATCTCCTCTTTTTCACCTACAAGAGGTAAGCAAGGTAAAGGAAAACCTAGAAGCTTTTAGAAAGCAATGTAAATTTGCATGACTTGCAAAACTGCCCTATCTCCCCTACTCTAGTCCACACAACATAATTTTTAAGTCTGATTTTTAAAATAGCCTCCCTGTTAATAAAAGTTTCAGCAGTTGTATATAATCAGAACCTAGAAGTAAATATTTTTCTGATTAGTATAGTCAACTAAGACAGACAAGTGGATTTATGATTATATTTTTGCACATCCTAGTAAAAGTGCATTTTACAAAAATACTTTACAGCAGTCAAAGGGATCGCTACACTTCACCAGTCCACTAAAAATGAGCATTGCAACATATTAAGTAATTAAATCCTGCCTACATATTATAAAAAGGATACTAAAATGATTCAGGTTTAAAAAACAATCAGAAACACCCCCATACTATAAAAGTATAGGGAACCATGTGTCTTATTCTGAGAAAAGAATATAGCTGTGAACAGTCAACCAGCTTAAAGCACTAAATGTACAAAAACAAGTATCATAGTTGATCAACAAACATGCAACAGTCCCTACTACTAAAAATAAGAACAGAAGTGGTAGTTAGACAGGGGAACTGCCATGCAAATACACAAACAAGCACCTCTTAACAGAAGATGAAGTAAAAGGTATAAACCAAAATGTAGGTCACCAAAATTAAGCAAACGCCTGGCACAGATCTGCACATTTCGAGAAGTAAATGCTGCATATTAATCTATAGCATCATGCAAACTAGGTATTACAGGTAACAAAAACACTGTTGATGCTAATATTGCTCAAAAGACACACAAGCAGCTACTTTTATGGTTAAGTTTCATTTCTCAAAGGGAAGCTAAGCTTTAAGAGACTCATTCTACACTGAGAGAAACAGATTAAACTGATGTGACTTTATATAAGAATTACAGTGAAGAAAAATAGCAAGGATTTGTAGTGAGCTAAAGCAATATAATTTTTAAACATTCCTGCAGAAAAGAAAGCAAGCACGGAAAGTTTGGAGTTCATTAACAGTTCCCTTGTCCAAATTAAAAGGCCCCAATCTTCTCTCTGACCCATCATACATGTCTTTTCAGACAGCACATCTGTTACAACAGGTAAGCAATGATGTGCCAGAAGGTTATGACAAATTAGCCCGAGTGGATAGAAGAAGAAAGTACTCTAACATCCATGAACAAAAACATCTTTGTTACCTGTTGAACACAAGTGAAATTCCATCTTTAAAATGTTAAAGATGAGAAGAAAAAAACAAATAAAAATAAAAAAGGATATTCTAGTAGAGAAAACCTAACTTTTATTGCTTACAACTACCTTTTCTTAGAAAATATTAATCAGAAAAACTTATTTGCTGGTTCTGTGAGTGTGGTCTTTCATTTACCAAAAAAAAAAAAAAAAGCTAAATACGACATACACGAATGTGCTCAATTTACTTAAACTGCAAAACAACTCTGTGATAACATGTTGATAATTTATAGATAACATACCTTGAGTTCCAATTCTTCTTAAATCATGTGATTAAAAAGTTATCATACCCAGTCTACTTCATCTCAAAATAATTCTAAAAGCTTTATTTCTAACTAGGAACCTGAAAGGTTAATTACATCCTGGCTGTTTTTTACTGAAATATTCCTATTTTTGCTTGGTATAAAATGACTGCTCATAAACTGTAAGCGATTCTCTGTCTTCAGTATTACATTGCTTTAATTTCTATCTTTTTTTAAAATGAAGATTAAAGGAAAGGAACACACTTTCCACAAGGAAATAAAAACCAAATAAAAACCTTGAATGCCAAAAGCTACCAGACCCCATTGGACACGGGGGCTAGGGGCGGATGTCAAGAAACATCATCTTACAGTGAATACCCAAGTCTATTATTTGTCCAGGAAGAGAATGTAATAGAATGTAATATAATTATATCTTGTACTTCTTTTTCTCTTCTAAAGGAGTATATATTTGACCAAAAAAAAGAATAAAAAGAGAAGGTTTTAATGAGAATGCAGCTGCGTGGAACTGGAATGTCCCCGCACAGAAATTTTTCCATTTCCAGAAGTGTGCGTTTTCCTGAATCAGTAGGTCTGATACCTAAAATGTCCTGCTAGGGGGAGGGCTGAGGCCCGTCAGTGGCTTTTTATAAGGCTGCCAAAAAAACAATCAGCCTCTACATCTATCCTCAAAGACAACAGGACACTGTGAAGACAACAAGGAAATCAGACAGGCATGAAAATTAAGTACATCTCATAAAAACAGAACATTCCATGGAATGTCTAATGTTAAAAAAATATACAAAGAAATATACAAAAATATACAAAAAGAAAATGATGGCATATTTTCACAGTAAAACAAGTTATGCACAGGACAAGCATTTCACATGCTAAGAATTTAAAAATAATTATTCTCTGGGGTTCGGCTACATTGTGGAAAACAAACAGTTAAAAATCAAGAAATAACTGTCCTTTCTGTGCCTTCAAACTACTTACCTGAGTTTGGACTAGCTCATCCATATGGATACTACAGTATATTTCTCACTTGCCTTTGGACACACTCCAATTTTTCTGTTTGTTTTACTTTCTGTATTGAATGGGGGCCTTTGCTGGTTGTCTCTTTAACGGATCTTGACTATGGACGTGCTCAAATCACTTTTTTCTCTTCAAGGTCTCAGAATTTCCTCAGCAAAACTCTTACCTATCTTACCCTAGAATGTACTTTCCCTCTCCACAATGTCTTTCATTTTTTTCCAACAAAAGCATTTATTTCTTTGTGAAAAGGAACATTTTTGACAAAACTTATTTCAACACAAATTCATTTTAAAACTGTGCCCTATTCCTCTTTCTGTTTACTGTAAAGCTCAGGTGTTATGAACAAACACATCATGGATGAGCTTCTCAGAAGTCTTACTTATATACATACCACTGCAGGAAAACATAATATTTCCCAATAATTTAAACAGAAAGAACCTACCTGTTTTTCACTTTCCTGGAGATGACAGTTTTCCTCTGCTGCATCTTGAACAGATGTCTTGAGTCTCTCTGTATTAATCTCAAATACTTTTAGGGTGGACTTGGCCTAAGTGAAATGAGAAAGATATAAGAAATGGGGTCACAATGGTTTACTGGACTTCTATTTCAACTTTTGGACTGTGCTATGTACGTTTTTAAATATGTATTCTTAAAATTCTTAAAAAAGCAGCTTTACTTTTGCTGATAATAATTATTTTTGTAGCACTATGTGTCACTGAGAAGTAAGAAGGCAAAGAAAACACAGGTATCTACTTCCCAGGAAATGGCAATCAAAGCCTGTAATTTCTATCACTAAATCGAATTATACAAAAGCCTCAAAAGCAATACTATTTCTGCTTTCTTAATGGACAAAACAATAAAAAGTAAATATGGAGAACAGAAAAAATATAAAGATGAGACATACCTCAGCAATTTGGGATTGGATTGATTTTGCTTCATTCTCTAAAGACTCCACTTTCTTTTGAATTTCAGCCACCTGAAAAAAATAGCTTTCATATAACTTGTTCCACAGATTTAACTGAGGAGGACTAGACAATTATGAAAATTGTTTAAGTTTTCAAGATGAGAGGACTTCTACTATCAAATCAGTAAAACACTGCGTGTGTGTGTGTGCGTGTGTAGAGAGGTGTTCCATGGATCTAACTTTTCTAGTATGAAAGTGAGTTTGGATGGAGACAAAGGAGAAATATTTTTGATTTATTAAAATGAAACAACAACAACAAAAAATGATAGTTTGTCTTTTCCATACAGAATGCTTTCTCATGAAAAAATAACTTATGTACTGAGTAACGAGAAAGATGGGGTTATTTACTCTCTCACCAAATCATCATTTTCTGAGTGCTTAAGTTTTTCTTCTTCCAGTTCTTTTTCAAGATTTTCTATTTCTTGCTTGAGTTCCAAGTTTGACTTGTTCAATTTTTCATGCGTTTCCTAAATCAAGTTATTTTGATAGTTAATATAACATGCTTAACTACATACAAAGATACAAATACCATTTTAATACTAAGTGACAAAGTACATTTAACAGCTATCATCACATCAAGGATAAATCTCAAAGAACTGTAGCCTCTTGCATATTAATAACACATAACAACTGGCTCTATAGGATCTTAGGTCTAATAGACCTAAGAATTAAATATATCTGTTTACCTGATACATAAATTTTAATTTTTAATTTTAATCTGTGCACTAGTAGGTTATACTGATATACTCAAACCATATCAGGTATGTGAAAATATGCCTCATACACTGTGCTGTCTCTACAGCAACAGTTAACCATTTAGGCAATTTAATATTGTTTGATATGTGATTTGCTCTATTATCAAAAAGAGAAGTTTAGGTGATCCATTCTAGATATGGTATAATCCTTACACAAACTTTTTTCAATTTAAGTGCTTTGCTTCTATGTCACTTTCAGAAAGACAGAATGAAAACAATGCTCTGAATTAAAACAATGAAGTTTTTTTTCTTAAATATGCAGAATTTTCCAAAACACTGCCTTAAATTATAAAAATAGTCATTCGCACTTTATGTTTTTACCTCTAGAAAAGATGCATCTGTTGAATCTTTCACAATGCTATCATCATTCAGAAATGATTCCAAATCTTCAAACTGAAAGACACAGTTTATATCAAAATGTAAAAAAAATCGCTTACATAATAGAGTTATTTTGTGATGCTCTAATCTGAAATATAACTACAATCTAAACATTTAGTCATAGACTGTCCTGGAAATGTTTAGCCCCAGTAGGTTATCGCAGCATAAAACATTTTAAACTTATTTCCAGTGCACTATTCTCTATTCAGCTTTAAGGCAGAACTTGCTAACACTTTAAACACACTTAAAATATACTGACAAAAAAAAAGCATTTGAAGAATCACTTTTTAAATAAGACACTTACTTTTATGCTCATGTTTAACACTTCAAATACAGAAATGGGTTCACTGAGATATTTGAAAAGACAGTAGCAATTGAGGAATAATTACCTCTTTCTTGCAAAGGCTGAGTTTTTCAAGCATTTTGCATTTATCTTCAACTAGTTCAGCAATTTTATTGGCAAGCTGCTTTTCTCTTCCTAGAAAAAAAAAAGAAAAAAAAGGCTAAATGTTGCAATACTCATTTAAAAGTAGCAAGAAAGAAAATCATTTTTCCAAAGAAACAGTATGAGAAATGAGCTTACCTACATAAAGTCGGCTTCTAACCTGAAATAAAAAGAATAAATGCTTAAAACATGATTCCATAATTGTTTAATCATGAAACTTAAGACTGAAATACAAATGAGGGCTGCTGTAAAAATCAAAAATCACATTCTGCACTCTACCACTTCATGTCGGTGTTTGTCTTGTCCTTTTCTAACTCCAATTAAACAAAGAGGAGAGAGGAAAGGAGGCCAGTTTTCACCTGGAACACTTTCACGACCCACCTCTCTGTATAGTCATAATATAACCCTGCATGTCCATTATATAGTGCCTATCATATAATACAGAGATAAAGGAGTGGGAAAACAGGAGGACAAAGAGAGAAGGGCTACAGGGCAGCTCAGACTTAACTGTTCAGGAGAGGAGGGAGAAAAAAAAAAACACAAACACATTTTTATATGCAATATGTAACAGTCAGAGCTGTAGTAAAGGTACCACTTGACAGGCAAACTGCTCAGATGCAGCTTTGTAAAGTGCCACATCAGCAGCCATCAATCGAGACCAATCAAAATCTATCAAACCACAAGACAAAACTTCTCACAGCTGGTCTGGACAGAAGGCAGAGATGCAGATGCAGAGCTAGGCTGAACCCACAAGAACTTCACCACATCCATTCCTCTTGGGCAGGCTAGGGGATGCACCTGACAGAGCCTCTCTTGCCTTTTTTTCTTGGTTCTCTTTAAAGCAACAGAGGATGGCCAGGAATCCAAGAAGTAGAAGGGAGACAGTCACATCCACCCCTACACTCCCATCACCATCCAAGAAAAACAAACCAAACCCCATTACTTTGAACAAGTAACCATTCATTCTTCAGTGAACAGCTCGCACAGTTTCAGCACAGACTAATGAAGTTGCCAATTATTTTTGTAATATCTAATATCTTAGTGATATTATCAGGTGCCACATGTAGGAAAACCATACTTTGGTTGCTGCTTGACCGATTTCAGCAGAAACACGGTTTTCTTACCATTCAGAAGGATGCTGTTGACTAATCTCAGAATGACCTGTTCCTAAATGAGCTTAAGCCAGTATCTTTTGTCTGTGTGTAGAGTACTCAGACAACAACTGCCAGACACTACAATAAGGAAGAATGCCACACACGATTCTCCTCAGACATTCTCTGACACGAGATAGATTAACCTTCTGATTGAACAGATTTGGCCAGAGAAATGAAAGACAACTAGGAAGGCTTGAGTCTGCAATTGTTATAAAGAAAATCACATTAAAAATAGAAGAGACTTTTCCCTACCTTAAGGGAGAGAGCAAAGACGATGGGGCCAGGCTCTTTTCAGTGGTGGCCAACAACAGGACAAGAGAAAATAGCCACAAACTGAAGCACCGAAAACTCCACCGGAACTCAAGAAAAAAAATTATTGACAGTGAGGGTGGCAGAGGACAGGCACAGGTTACCAAGAGAGGTCGTGGAGTCTCCTTCTCTGGAGATCTTCAAAACCAACTTGGATGCAGTCCTGTGCCACGTGCTCTGGGTGACCCTGCGTGTGCAGGGGGGTTGGACTAGCTGATCTCTAGAGGTCCCTTCCAACCTTAATGATTCTATGATTCTATAGGCAGTACTTTGCACACAGCTTCGGGAAGGAGAGTGATAAAGTAAATAAATAGTTCATACAAAATTCTGTAATCATGAAGGTGATAAACTCGCAATGTTGTTTAAAAACTACTTGTTCCAGGAAAGGAGCAGGTAAAGCAATACAACTATAAGGCTCTGATGCTCACACAAGCTCTGTGCCAGGGGCAAGACAATCTGAAAGGCTGCTTTCATCAAAAGAAAGAAAAAAAGTTTGGCAGAAGATTGAAAGAAACCTTCCCACAGTTTCAATAGTGTTGAGGCCCTGTTCAAAGATAAGGTTTGTACCTGGCGGCTAAGTATAAGAGCACTCATATAAAGAACCTTTGAACGGAGAAGCATATGAACTGAATGAAGCAGACATGCCACGAGATTATTTTGTGAGCAGGCAACACAACTGAATGCAAATCCAGCCTGCTTCAGGTGCAGCACAGGTGCAGACAAGTTTCAGGACCTCTAATGAAATTAGTAAATTATGCAAATGTAGTTAAAGTGAGAACTTTGTGTGGCTGTAATCACCATGAATTTACTGTGACCTTACATCTCAGCAAACTCAATTTGCAAGCAACTTAACTGTTTTGGAATGGCTACCAGATCGATTTTCTTATCTGCCTTTAGGAAAAGTTCAACCTTTCAGCAGAAGTTGTCCTGCTTTTCCAGAAACATCCTGTAAACATTTATCAACAAAACCAACATCTAAGCCATCAAGCAAAATTACTGTAAGCATGAGTAAGTAAAATCCTGGTTTTACAATATTGCACTGAAGCAGAATGGATAACTCCATTACCTTCTCTAGCTCTAGTTGCTACTGATGTTAGGACCAGTTTTAGATTATTCACCCAGACTTCCCTCCTTGCTAAGGTGGGCAGAGAATGAAGATATTCCTAGTTCAGGAAAAGTATCATGGAAGTTGCCTTGCCAGCATTACTTCATGCTCTGAGAAAAGTGACAAAGGTCCTAACACCGAACTTTGCAACTTCTGGCTTATACAATTCACTCCCAGAATAACCTGTATGATATCTTTTAATTAATTGTTATTTTATCTCAAAGAAACCATTCCACAGCAGGAACAACCAAGTACAAATTCAAAACGTTTCAGGACAATCTTGTTAAATACAATTAAAACAACATCAACAACAAAAAACAGCAAGCAAACTAAGACATAGAACATAACCAATAAAGTTACATTAAGAATACAGGGGTTTTGCACATTTGATATTATAACGTACGTTCACTGAGTCTCTGCACAATGACACATCAAAAAGAAATATCTTTACAGTGATAAACTCTTAACCACACACACAGAAAATCCAAGATCAAAGACTAGGCAGATGTACATCCTCTGTGGAAACTAGTGATGCAAAAAAACTTCAACTTGGGCGCTCATGTTCCACTCCTACTCTTACAACCTAACATGCTCAAACAGAATGGCGATTTTAACGAAACCAACAATACCAAGACAAACTAGAAAGCAGGAAAAAAATGAATCAAAACTACAGACATGTTAATTTACACAAACACGAACCTCCCTGAAAACATGCACTTTGCTCTTGAAAATACCAGGTGGCATTTCTCCAGATCTAAGTTTCAATTGTTAAAAATATTAACACGGCCTATATATCTGTATGTTACTTGAATACTTACTGATTGATAACTTCTGTATACAAACAGGAAAACGGTAAAGACGCCAACAACGCCAGCACAAATCACTATTTCCCATGGGAAACCATACAGATCAGCGCCAGGTCTCATATCTTCAGGCAGCGATGCCACAGCCTGGAAAACAAAGTCAAAAGCTTCGACGACAGAAAGGAACATTACGTTTTCAGTAGGCTTGGGCAACACATGCCGCATTACCGCTCCCTGCCGAGGCCACGGGCACAGACTGTACGTTAGTCTTTCAGGACCCTGGCGTACAGAA